CCCCCGCAAGAACTGCCCTCCAAATCAAATACCATTTAGCAACAGGGCTGGATGGGGTACCCAGTGGCGAGGTGATCTCGGGTAACGGGGAGAATCGAAGGCGGTGGTGGACAGCTGGACCTCAGAGGCACAGGACAGTACAGAAAGGTGGCCATGCAAACGGCTCCTTGCCGGAAAGGTGGGTGGAGGAGCCAGGGCCCCGCAGGGAACTGGTTTTCTTGTTTTTCTAGACTTTGAGGTCCTTTCTAAGCATCTTTTATAGATTATTCTTCCCAGTTCCCAACACCTGATTAGCGCTTGAAAAAGCCATTCACGGTCCTGCCTTCAGCTGAGCACACCAGACACCAGCTTCTCCTGTCCTGCAGGTCACGCACACATTCTCACACGGGTCCCTGTCACACCCCCAGCTGGCCATGACCCCAGCAGGAGAACAGCATGGGCAGAAAACTAAGTAGGTGAGGACAGGGAGCCGCTGACACTACTTGCCCTGGAGCTTGGGGTCAAAGCCCACACCTGCCCCTCTGCCCCATGTGACAGGCTGAGTTACTGAGTGACTCCTGAGGCTCTGCCCCTCATATAAATGGTGGTGCTCTCCACAGAGGCTGCGGCCACCCAGACAGCAAGTGCAGCACGTGGCCTGGCACCTCCAGGTCCCCACAGCGGGATCAACACCGTGACTAAACCGTCTGTCTCGCCCTGAGTTCTGCGGAGGACAGTTTGTGCCTTCGACAGCTCACTTGTTCAGGGCAGGAGCAGCCCTGGGATTACAGAAGCCCACAGCACAGAGTGGCACCCAGACAGCTTTCCCACCACAATTAAAGGGCTTATCAGAGAATTGTAGCAGGATTATGCCTGCAGGGCATCACCACCACCAACCTCCTCCGGCCACTCTGCGGTTTTAGGAAAAGCAATTAGAGGTCTGGGCCCTGCAGGTATAAATATACACTGGCCAAGGTCGAGAGCAGCGTGAGCTGCTTAGAGCCCACAGGATGAGGCTGCCAGGGGCACCAGGGCCACCCCTGCACTCTATCCAGGAGACCCTAGGAAGCCACAGGACACAGAGTCTTCCAGCCCAGGGGCCTGCTTGCCACCTCAAGACCCTCCTGGGGTCACCACCACTCCTGATCGCTGGGGTCCCCATTCAGAGGTTAACCCTTGCTGTGCCAATGACTTGCTGCTGGAGCCTCCCTCCACCTGCTCAATGGGTAAGGCGGTGCACCTACAATGGAGGACACCCCCGCAGCCTCCAGCCCTCATTCGCCCAGCCCTGAACACTCCCGCTGATCACCCGTGAAACAGGGGCCCTGATCTCCACCTAAACACAGCCCTCTGGTTCCCCGTCTCCCTGCCCAGGAAAGGACAGAGCTGTCCACGGATGCACCCGTGGTGGGAGTGTACAGCGTCTTGGGGAGTTGGGGGACAGCAAACAAACCCAGCTCGGGGAAGAACTGAGAACGCAGACGTAGAGGACCCGCCCCCCCCCCCAGTTCTCACCGTTCTCTCGGGACTTCTGGATAAAGGCCTCCACGCCGCTCTCGCCGTAGCTGCCCTCTGAGGCCAGCGTGGACACGTAGTTCCACTTGAGAGCCCGGACGATATCCACCATGGCCTGGGCCTGGTATGTGTCCGAGGGCACCACACGGGAGAAGAAGTCATAGCGGCTGTTGTCGCTCAGGTCAGGGGCTGTGGAGGCGTAGCTGATCTGGGGGATCTAGAGGAACAGGGACAGGCAGATCGATGGACAGACACATAAAAGGGCAGCTGCTCCCCACCATCCACCACCCTGGGACCCCTCAACCCAAAGCACCCTCCCATGGACACTGCCTCCCCTCCCCTCAGCCAGGGAAGACACTGTAGAATGGCAGGACAGGTCCCAGGTACTGAGAGAAGATGTCTAATGGCGGCCGCCCTTCCCACAGAGTTCCACCTGTCTCCCTGGTAGGGGCAAGGTCTGGCCAGCAAGATACCAAGAGCTTCCCTGCGACCCCGGGGTGACTCCCAGAGGCCTCCTGTGGTCTCTGACTAATGGTCTCTAGCGATACCCCAGACACAAATATACACTTGGGTATGCACACACACGGCGGGGGAGGGGAACCTGGAGCCTCTGTTTCCAAGTCCCTCTAGTCACCATACAGAAGGCTTGGTCTCTATGGTTTCCAATGACCTCTGTCTCCTTTCTCCTGCCCAGTTGGAGGACACAGCCCAGAACCCAGACCTCAGATGCTTCCCCATCCCCACAGGTGGCCAGAGCAGCTTCCTCTGAGAGACCCTTTCTTTCCACTGTTTGTGTACAGGGCCCGGAGAGGCAAGGCCCACCTCTGGCCCTGGCCCTGCCCAGCCAGCCATGGAGTAACCTGACCCCCTACTCTTAAGTGGCGTCAGCCTCCTGTAATTGTCTAAAGCCATCCCAAAGGACAAGAAAGGAGCCATGTGACCCTCCTCCCTGTCCCCTCCTCTCCAACACTATGGAGACCACAGTCCCCTGCTCCTAGGGGCTTTCAGCTGCCACACAGACAGGCTAGGGATGGAAGAGGCTCCTAGCAGGGCTGCTCTGTGTCCTGTGGATGCCCATACCCAGCCTGTGCCCTGTGGATGCCCATACCCAGCCTGTGCCCTATGGATGTCCATACCCAGTCTGTGCCCTATGGATGTCCATACCCAGCCTGTACCCTGTGGATGTCCATACCCAGTCTGTGCCCTATGGATGCCCATACCCAGTCTGTGCCCTGTGGATGCCCATACCCAGTCTGTGCCCTGTGGATGCCCATACCCATTCTGTGCCCTATGGATGCCGATACCCAGCCTGTGCCCTGTGGATGCCCATACCCAACCTGTACCCTACGGATGCCCATACCCAGTCTGTGCCCTATGGATGCCCCTACCCATTCTGTGCCCTATGGATGCCGATAACCAGCCTGTGCCCTGTGGATGCCCATATCCAGTCTGTGCCCTATGGATGCCCATACCCAGCCTGTGCCCTGTGGATGTCTATACCCAGCCTGTGCCCTGTGGATGTCTATACCCAGCCTGTGCCCTGCGGATGCCCATACCCAGCCTGTGCCCTGCGGATGTTCATACCCAGCCTGTGCCCTGTGGATGCCCATACCCAGCCTGTGCCCTGTGGATGTCCATACCCAGCCTGTGCCCTGTGGATGCCCATACCCAGCCTGTGCCCTGTGGATGCCCATACCCAACCTGTACCCTGTGGATGTCCATACCCAGTCTGTGCCCTGTGGATGCCCATACCCAAGCTGTACCCTGTGGATGTCCATACCCAGCCTGTGCCCCATGTGCCAGAAGCATCTCCCCAACAGTGACCACCAGTGTATCTCCAGGCAGAGTCAGAGGTCCTGGAGGACTGACTGTCCCAGTTGAGAACCAATGTTTAGAAATTGGTGCTAAGATGCTAGAAAGGAAGCTGGGCAGTGGTGGTGCACACCTTTAATCCCAGAACTCAGGAGGCAGCAGCAGATGAATCTCTGTGAGTCTGAGGCCAGCCAGGGCTACACAGAGAAACCCTGTTTCAAAAAAAAAAAAAAAGAGGATATGTAAAGGTGATATACAGGGTTTGCCGCACAGGACCCCATGGGGCAGGCGGAAGCATAAACCAATTAGCAGAGAGCTGACAATCAGTGAGAGGCGGTGACAGGTACGTGGGACCTTGCTGCCTGTTCTCTATGCCTTTGTGAATGTCTAAAATGTCCATTTTCCTAAAATATTGTTATACAGAATAAAACCAAATCCCTGCAACCCCATCACCCATCCAACAAAACACCATGAATGTGGGGACAGCTGGGATGGGACCCATCCACCCACACTTCCTCCAATGAGCACCAAAGGCTGCTGCTCACTCATCTTTATCACACTCTCAGACTATCTCTCCCTCCCAACCAGGCCATGAGTGATAGAGCTCCAAGTACCCCGTGGTCAGGCTGGGAGCCCAGTCCCCAGGGAGCAGTCAGCAGCTTCACACCCAGACCCACACCCAGAGATTGATCCAGGCACATGGCCTTCTACCATACTGCATGTACCCCATTCCCACAAAGATGGGGGATCAGCATGGGGCTCCTGCATAGCATACAGCAGGAAAGCCAGGCTGTACCGCCCCAATAGTCCCTGAGGCCCTGGGAAAGACGCCAACTGCTGTGGGATGGTCTGTATGTCCAATTGCTCTGATTGGTCAATAAATAAAACACTGATTGGCCATGGCTAGGCAGGAAGTATAGGCGGGACTAACAGAGAGGAGAAAAGAAAGAACAGGGAGGCAGAAGGAGTCACTGCCAGCCGCCGCCATGACAAGAAGTATGTGAAGACGCCGGTAAACCACGAGCCACATGGCAGTGTATAGATTTATGGAAATGGATTAATTTAAGATATAAGAACAGTTAGCAAGAAGCCTGCCACGGCCATACAGTTTGTAAGCAATATAAGTCTCTGCGTTTACTTGGTCGGGTCTGAGCGGCTGTGGGACTGGCAGGTGATAGAAATTTGTCCTGACTGTGGGCAAGGCAGGAAAACTCTAGTTACAACCAATCCCAGACCAGGCCAGGGTAAGGGACAGTGACCAGTTCCTTCTCCCTGTCACATCACAGGTTCTGAAGTGTCATGAGCTGCAGGGATGCAGTAAGAATTCAGCTGTATGTGATAAAGCTAAACCTAGAAGGACCAAGGAATCCTTCTGGAGGAAGCCACATATCAAGGAATATTTGGTGTTATTCAGCTTTTAATACATCAGCTGTTTCCTGCTATCAATTTCTTGTGCACTCATAACTCCTAGGCCATAATAGCAAACAGTATAAGCTTCTCAGACCTACTGCTGATCTGAATTAAGGTAACACCCTTACAGAGACAACGCCTAGGCTTAGGAGGCAGGCAGATGCGTAGATGCATAACTTCGTTTCTCATGCAAATGAAGCTCAGACCCTCCATCCCCTCACAGGCCAAGTGGCATTCCAGAACAATTGACTCAGAACAAAAGGGTTTCTGCATATCAGGTGAGGGAGGATTGAAGCAGAATTCCTAGCACCTAGCAGAGTTGTGTGGCCAGAGAAGAAAGAAAAAGGCAGAGTTTTTAATAGATGGTAGGGATTAGGTCAAATCAGGAGAGTAGGAAAGGAAGGGACAAGCATGGATGGAGGAACTGAGGACGAAGATGAGATCAAAAGCAAAAGAGCTTAGTCAGGGCTACGAGAGGACAGGAGGAGAAGGGACAGAGAGGAGCTCTGAACACAGAAATGAAGCCGTGTAGAGAAAGAACTCGGGAAGAGAAGGGACAGAGAGGAGCTAGATATAAAAATAGAATTAAAACTATATGGATAGCAGTTAATCTCAGAGGAATAAAGTAAATGGATGAAAGAACCCAGTGTACTTAGATTATTTTCCTGCAGATTACCCCCGCCATTAGTAGCGTCTCTTTTGGGCCCCTGGGAAGGAAATTAAAGAGACTCAATAATTTCCAAAACTAAAGTTCCCACTAAGAAAATTTCAGACTAAGGTTTGGGGTTCAAGTCGACTCTTGCTCTCTAGCTGGTAGAGCCGACCAGTTCCTTCTCCTCCCCAGGCCTCAGGCTCTGCAGTTACAGAATGGGCAATTAGGAGCTGCTGGTGATATGAGGAATCCCTGGGACCTCTGAGAGCAGGTCCGTGGCTCTCTGCAGCACTGCAGGTGACCCCTCCCCTGGTCCTTGCATCCCTGCTCCCTCTGCCTTCGTTAGCCTCCCAGACACAGCACCATCACTGTCAGGAAGACATCCTTGAATGCTTACTGCTTTCTGAGGCACCTCCTCCCACTGCCCCAGCCTGGAGTGGGGGAGGGGCGAGGGGCACTGCAGGGCAAAGAGGCCTGTGGGAGAGTCTGCCACACCAGGTGATTCAGACATGCTGATTCGTGGGGCTGTGTGCCCTCCTCAGCTCCTCTGTCTTGGCTGGAGAGGCAAAGGATGCTCAGTTAGCATTCTCCTCAGAGATGTCACTTCTCAAAAAATGGCAGCCCAGAAGGACTCCTGCCACTTCCTCATCATCCCCTGCCCTGGCCATATTCAAAACATCCACCAGATCTGAGGCTTGCTTTGTTCTGGGTGCTGAGGACACAGCTCATGCCACACTCTGGGGACAGGACAAGTATCACAGCCACTGGGCTCAACAGCCTATTTTTTTTCTTTCTTTCTTTTTTTTTAATGCCAAATGCTGTTTATTGAAGGAGGGAGGAGGTCTTAAGTACAGGCTTACAGCACAATGGGAGAACCCCGGAGGGCAGAAGTTTGCTACCAATGTTTTATAATCTTGCGTCTAAGCTGTTAAGGCCCATTATGCAGGATACACAGACAAGGAACTTCCCTTAAGCATTCAGGAGGGTGGAACCCGGCAGGGAATTAGCATAGGGAGGATATCAAGGTCAGCAAGCAAGGCAACAATTACCCAAAACGGGGGCCAGGGACCTACAGGTCCCCCTTTTACTAAAAAATGAGCATCTGACTTAGGTTGCGTGGGGCATCAGCAGGTCACCTTACCCATCATGGAGACGCCTACCCGGGCCACACAGGTGCTCTGTCTTAGGTTGGTGAGTGCCCCCCAAGTATTACCCGTCTCTGAATACTCATTATCATACAGGCTCAATCGTGTCAACAGCCTGTTTCTACTCTCAGGGTCCTGACAGAAGCTGTAACCCATGGACTGTCTCACACACCCAGCCCTTCCACATGCACTGTGCAG